GAAATCTAACTCATCCCGCAAGTTCAAAAACTTCTCGGGGAAGTCCACCAGATTGTCTTCAGGCTCGATATAACTCATTTGTTTAAGAAAGCAAAAATTTTTTAAAAAATACTGTGGTAACAGATGAAGTTCAAACGGAAAGCAAACAAATGATGTTGCTTTTAGTCCTCTTTTATGAAGAGATGTTTCTTTTCATTTTCCTCCTCCAATAAGGAAGGGGAATGCAGTTGCTAAAATTAACATCAGCATAAACGAATGATTATCATTCCACTGCTAGATCTCAACAAATCAAAACTAAGTGGAAAAACCACGACATTAAGCCAGAGTGAAAAAAAACCACAAAACGAATGGCGAATGAATTACGACTTAAAAAGAGTCACTTCCGAAAGACGCCGAATAACAACGGCCAATCAGAGCTTAGATTTGCAAAAAAGCAAAAACAGCCTTTAAAAACTAACTGATATACAGTTGTTTTCATTCTTGCTCAATTCCACATCTTTCATTCAAAACCTCCTCTCTCTCTCTCTTCAAAAAAAAATAAAATCGCTAAATTCCTCAACAAAATTGAAATCTAACTCAGATTTCCCATCACAAAAAATCCACCAAATGACAAATCCATATAGTGAAATAGAGGAAGGTGAACTAATGGACCAAGATCCTGTTCTAACCACTCTCGAGGAAATGCTTAAAGTGAGTACTTTTAAAAATTCTTTTGCTATCATTCACCACCAAGAAATAAATTTGCAAAAAATTTATTTGGTTGGTCTTTTAACTCTAATAATACTTTCGAATCAAACCTCAGCATTTGATCCGAATGAACAATTATATGCAAATACTGCAAATAGTCTTCGGGTTGCTCATTATGATTGTCAACTAATGACTTCTAACAAAATGTTCTCTCTAAATAAAGTAGCACCTTGCAAAGTCCAACCAGAAAATATTAAAGTAGCTCATACTTATATTACTCTATATCAGAGACATTATCGCACAAAAGTAAATGCGACAATGGGTCGAATCAAACACCAATCAATGCGTTGGTTCTGCGATTCTTTTGATTCGGGTGGTATCGACGCTCGACAAAATATGATCACTACTGATCTTCATTTATCTGCCGATCAATGTAAATTGACCGCCGACAGAGGCTATCTTAACCTAGGCTATGCTAGTATTGGAAATATTCCTTTCAAATTTAATGTTAAAACAGTAACTAATGCCCATGCTGGCAAAGTTGACGGCAAACATCATAACGAATGTGATGGCCGTTCTTGGATTAAATTGGACACTTTTGAAACTTACATGCAAAATGTAACTCTGACTGTTAACCTCAAAGATGGAACAGTCAATAATTGGCAAAACATTCCTTTGCCCTGCCAGTGTCTACAAATGGATGTGAAACAACATCCTTAGACGCTTTTGCTTATACTTGGGAAGAACCCAACAATTGCATTTTCACTGTTTTAAACAGATTTCCGGCTAAAATGATTCAAAACGAAGAATCATACTATATAATTAAAGGCGATTCTAGCCCGTCTATTCATTCTACCCAAACAAAGGATTCTCAAAAATTTATGCTACAGGTGATGAATAAACCGCAATCTCTTTGTGGTCATCCCAGAATAGTGTATCCAACTTCATATGATTCACTTTTTATTGCATACACTGACGGTTTCAATATGGATACTGGAATCCAAGTTAAACCAACCCCAGAAACGGGAACTATTCATAATGCCGGCCAACCAAATTCTACTTTTCTCACATTAAGTGATGATTCGCCGCCACTCCAATTTTCAAGTCATCAAATTGACTACGAAGCTCATATAGGTACCAAATTGGACTATATTCTTTTTTATAGCTTCTACATGCTCAGAACGGCCGAGTTAGCCCTTCTGCAAAATCAATGTGAGCTAGAACGCTCCTCAATATTAAATACTTGAATGCTTTCACTTGAAAGCCCCCGTTTGGCTGGCTATATTCTAACCAAAAACCTCTCTATGTTCTTAGAGACCAATGGCAATGTTGCCTGGCTCTACCATTGTCCGAAATTTTATTCACCTTTGCAATTAATGGATGAATGCTATAATCGCATTCCCATTATGTATAAGGAAAACATTCGATTTGTCGATCCAATTACGCGACAAACTTTTCAGTCGGCAGATCTACAAGACTGCTCCGACAAACATTCGAATCTCTTTCAACTAGATGTTGATGATGATAAGTCCTGGATTGAATTAACCCCTCAAATTACAAGGGTTACAGGACCATATCTCTTTGAACCAAAAGAGATAATTCAAAAGATTAAGCATTCTTTAGCCTCTAGCCAAGGCGCTTCAATCTACACTTATGCTCAAATGCAAAAATTCTGGAATATGATTTCCGATAATTCAGAGATGAAAGGAATACTGCAAAAAGTATCCAGGTCCTTTCTAAATGCTAAAAAAATTCTTTTCAAGGACTCATATAGCCCACTAGGCTCTTCCCAAACAATATATTTGGACTATCTCATCTCTCCAAACTTTTGGAAAAACGAATACACCCGTATATTCGGGAAAGTACAATACTATTTAGAAAAATGCGGAATAGTCTTCGCCTCTTTTCTATTTGTGAAATTCATACTAGATTGCCTAGTATTCATAATAAAGGCTATGCATATTCACAAAATCACCGGCCGCTCACTACACTTTGGCAAAGTATTGCTTGCCGCTTCATATAATATACTGTTCACTTCCATAGTGACCTCAATTTTCACTCAAGATGAGCAAACTGAAAAATGTGATCAGAAAATCCAAGCCCCTCTTTTAGAGGAAATTGATAAAATAAACCAGGATCGCATGTATCCTCACATCCAATTAACAAGTTTTGAAAGAAGAACTCAAAACTTGGATTACCCAACAAACCCAGTCTAATAAAAAAATTCTACTGTTCTAGGATATACCAACTGATTCAACTATGGACGCAACACTTGATGACGACTTGAGAGATTTTGAGGATCTTCTCTCACTCCTGCCACCAACCGATCCACTGGACTCGCAGATTTCAGCACTCACTCAACAACCAACTGTTTCTACTACTACAACACCAACTGCAAAGCCGACCTCAACACGATCCTTCGTTGAGCCACTACTTCAAACCAATTCAGCTGTCCCACTACAGCATCACAGCCACCACCCCTAAAAACTGCACCCCCTGATTTCAAAATACCCCTGGTTCCCTCGAATTCCAAAATTAAAAAGCGAACCCAGATTGTAAAACCATATAAGATACTAACGGCAAATACGCCGGTATCAACTTCTCAATATCCAATGACCATTAGGCGAAAGCCCTTGCACCCCACTGAATTAAAAACTAAATTACATATTCAGATAGAAAGGGAACGATACATTAATTCTATCAGTAATCCCGGCTTCGATATGGATCTCAATTATGCTTTGAATCCATTAATCAATCGTTTTAAATTAGAAGCCTATCACCCTATAAAAAAAATGTATTCCATAACTAATTCCCTTCTTGAATATCAAAAAATCTATGTCCCAGCAAAATATCTGACAGCAAAATTACAAACCCCCCAGTTAGATGACTATACTGAGCAAATTCAGCGCAGTCATATCCATGAAACGCACCAACTCCGGGAGCTGAAAAAGCAAATCCACAATTTGAAAACAAAAAATCACCAACTTATAGCCCGGTTGGAAGGAAAATTGTAAAAAATTTATCCTTTAAACATTTATTCTTTATATAGCTATGTAGTATAGCTATTAATTTCCTTTCAACAATTTTGACTTTTATAAAAAACAAAAAACACAAAAAATACCCCCTTTGTATGAACCAGCCCTCCCCTTATTACGCGTTCGGACAGACTTCACATACTTCAGAAGAAAAGGAGACTTCGGAAAAAAAATGTTTAAGGAATAAAACTAACCTTCAAACTTTTGAGAAACAAATAATTTTGATGTATTTAATTTTATAGTTAAATCCCTTGGTTGTGTAAACTCTATTTTCATTTATAAATGTACCTGATGTGTTTATATTCATTCAAGCCTGACTCAAAGTATCAGTTGTTCAAAAACATCTGCTACCTGTAATACCAACAAACTATTGAACCAACTTTATGAGATTGAAAGAAAAAGCTTCGATCGATCAACAATTACCCCACTATTCAAGTGAAAGTAATAAAAATGAAAGTTTAAGTTTTTTCCTCTCCAAATAGGAGGATGGATATGTTCTGATTTCAAATAGAAACAGAAACATGAATTATTTTATTGCGTTCACAAAATGTGACGCCGCCGCCACCACCAAAAGAAATATGTTTTTATTCCCTTGCAAAAGGAAGGGAATCGCTATTGGAATAATTCGTATAACGTTTTAAGCATTGAGAATTGAAACGACTATTCTCGTTCAATGCGAATAATAACGATTCCTATCGTAAAATACGAGCATACGAAACCTTCTTCTCGTAAAATACGAATGTACGAATAGAGAATACGAAGTTAAGAAGTAACTTCTCATTTGATACGAAAAGTGGCGTGATTTCCCCATCTGAGTATAAATAGAAGCTCAAAACTACGGGAATTCATTCCCAACAATTTTTCTTCTAACACCACTACCTCCCTCTCTAATATCCCAACAATATCTCTTCTAACACCAACACCACTCTCCTCAACCACCCCAACCAATCTCTAAAAAATATCTCTAATCTCACCGTTAAAATAGATATTGAGTCAAAAGGCAACTTGCTGTAAATTCATACTAACTTCTTTTTTTAATAAAATGTTTCTCAGCGAATTTTAGATTTACTTTCTAAGATAGAAAGTAGAAAGGACCCTTTATTCCTAGCAAGCGTTTTGTCCGACGTCTATAGTTTTGCTAGCGTAATAGGTTGCGTATGAAAAAAAAACTACAAAATAATGGAAATAAATTTTCGATGAGAAAGAGAAAGAGTAATTGGCATGGAATAATTGTACTAATATTTGCTTTGGAAAGAAAGGAAGAGATGTTCGGTTTACCTGAATGAGAAGATCGACCAGCCCCATTTTGTTCGGGGGGATCTTATAAGAGAAGACCTCGTTGAAGTAGGGACTCCTCGTCTTCTTCAGTTCGTCTGACTTGTCTTTCCTCACAATCTTGTTGCCCATCTTCATCGTCAACTTCACATAGGGATCTGTTGATCCCCCGAAGCTGGGCTTCAAGTCCTTGCACTCGATTATGGTCACGCCCAGTTTCTGAGTGTTGGCATTGTACCGTAGAGTGACGCTTATCTCACCCAACGGGTCGTCTAGCGAGGGGTTGTGGGCTATAATAGAAAAATTTGTAGTCTACAGGCAATAAAAGGCTTTTGCATTTAGACCACAAGACAAATTCAATAAAAATGTTCATCTTCCAAAATAAAATATAAAACTACTGGAGAACTTCCTGTGAAAAGCAATAACCATAGCTAGATTTTAGACTCAACGGTCAGTTCGAATTCCGAAAAATTGTTCCCAAACGGCACACCAACCCGGAGTCTGCAAAATGGCTGACAAAAGTTGTCGCAAATAAAGCTCGAAGGAGATTTGTTTTGAAGAATTCGCGGGGTTGAGTCTTTTCTGTTATACGGCCTAAAACTATCAATATGCTTTTATTTTGGTTGAGAATCTAGATAATCTTTAGCTGGAAATAATTTCAACCAATCAGATTTGAGCATTATGTTCCAGTTTTCGAATTATGAAAAATATCATTTTTGGGCCGTATTACAGGGTGGGTATTCACAAGTACCAAAATGATAAATCAGTCCCATTTGTACCAAAATAAAAAATCAATCGCGTTAGTACCAAAAATATTCAATTGGTCAATGACTACTAAGCCGACTATTTTAAGCTCTTGGTTTAAGGTCGCCGGTGGGAGCGCTACGCGCGAGTCGCCGCGATAACTGGCTCTAATTTTCGTATAGAGTCCTACCCTCTGTTGGCAAGCTCGCGACACGTTGACGCGTCTGCGGCGATCACTATTCTGCTTTTTAGTTTTCTTCTGTTTGAACAGTAGAAAATTAATATAATATTTCGTTGGCTCAGAATTCGACCAATCAGAAATCGAGTTGAATAATTTTGGTACAAATGGGACCGATTTTTCATTTTGGTACAAATGGGACGTCACCGTATTACAGAAGACCACAGTTCACAAGAAAGATAAGATTCAATAATAGAACACTCAGGTATCTTAAATGACTTCTAAGCTTACCTAGAATGGGTATGGATGAGAATCCTAACTGAAGGTCTGTTTTGGAGAGGGAGAGGACGGCGTCTCCGATGGGGGCATCCCGCACGAACTTGAAGTGACGGTACACTCTCACCAACACCTTCCTGCAATCACAGCAAACTTCAAGCTTCAACCCAAGTCACATTCATCTTGAAATCTAGCTGGACTAACTTTTCGTGAACTATGCTTGAAATTAATCAAATTTAAGCCCCGAGTTTAAATAATTTTGCTGGTCTTTGAAAAATTTGAAGGTGGATTTGCTTTTGTAATTGAAAACAATGGTTTCTCTAAAAAGCATACGAAAAAAAACAAGCCCATGATTTTGAATCAAATGAATCAAACGAACTTAAATGTGTCAAGTAAGC